GGCAAGTATGAGTACTCACCCAAATACTCAGCGTTGGTACCGATAGTAGTATCGGTATCGGTGCATCCCTAGTGCATCCCTAATGGAAACTGAGATTTAGTTTGCTAAATCATTGTGTATCATGAACAATTGTCTTTTTTTTTATTTTTTATAATATATTGACTTCACCATTTCTCATCCTTTGTTGCATCTCAGTGCTGCTGATCTCCTGCAGCCTGTTTTCAGTCAATTTCTGGACTAGATGTACTCAATGATGGCATCTCTTAAGGCGGGTTTCCTGATGGTGACAACAGTGGACCACGCCTGTGTAATGTATGTTAAAATTGACACTAGTAGTCTTTTTCAAAAGCTCATGTGACAACTCATAAGTTGAAATGGGAGACAGACAGGTCATTGTCACCCTACAACAGGAAGTGCCTGAAAAAGCATCATCACCGCAGGATTACCAGGCATTATTGTAGATTTTAAACTGCAGATTAAAAAAAAAAAAATACTAATGGATTTTAGAAATGACATTAAACATGCCGGAGCATATATGAGCTGTCAGTGATTGGGTCAGTGATTGGTGATCTACTTTAAATAATGCCCGGTGTGTCTAGACCAACATAATTATTCCACAGCAATTACAGAAAAATGTCTATAGGAATTTACCCGAGACATCTCAGATTACAGCTGTGCAAACCTGATTTTTACTTCATCTCCATCAGACACTCGGGAGATAGGAGGCCTAGTCCCTAGCCAAAGTGGTTTAGGATTTAACCCCTTCCCAGCCATCATTTAACTAGTTTAAGAGCAAAAAAAAAAGAAGGCGGTAAAGTTGCGCAGCTCTCGTCAGCCAGGAAAGAGTTACAGCGAATATGCACAGCATGCATTAGGTCACTAGTAATAAAACATTCATCATCCACTTTCCTTCCCCCTCCGCTGCTCCCCCAAAGGTCAAATACCACATGTACAAAGCAGTGTGTAAAACAGTGTGCAGCTTTGTAAAGAGCATGTTACAGGATAGTGCACAGGCCAACCACTCTGAGCCAGTTCTGTATGTGAATGATCGTTGTGCGCCTTTTCTACAGGGTCTTATAACTCGGCTTATTGTTTGGTTATTTGGGAGAGTCAGTTTATTGAACTTACGGTGAAAGAAAATCTTATAAAACATACTGACCTATTCATAAAACGAGGGCAAAGCATTCACATCTAATGTCATTTGAAACAGCTACTGTGACTGTATGCGCAGCTCCCAACTGTCACTGATTTGGAGGGAGTATCCCGTTTTTGGTACCAAATCCCTCTGTCCCTCTTCCTGATTTCTTTTCTGTGTTCTGATGTTTAGGCCTCGTGCACAGCTGTAAAGGGGGACAACACAAGGGGACCAACAGCTAGTACATGTTGTCACATGCAAGCGGCAAACACGCTGACCCAAACTTGCACATCGGTACAGCTACAGATGCATGCCTTTGGACACAGGCTTTCTGCGTCCAAGGGTGTGCATGTGTAACTGTATGGATGTGCAAGTTTGGATCGGTGTGCAGCCGCATACCTGCTTTCAGAGGTATCCCATCGCACTCCAAACCGACATATCCTCATGTGAAGCTTAAATGTTTGCTGAAATGGCCAACGGACGGCGCCGTAAGACTAAGGAGATAATGGGGTCACCAGCACATAGGGTTGCCACCTGTCCCGGATTTACCTGGACAGTCCGGGTTTTGAGTTCTGTACTGTGTGTGCTGTGTCTTGGTTTACAGACAGCTGAAACCCAGACACAGCACATACAGGACTCAAAACCCGGACTGTCCAGGTGAATCCGGGACAGGGGGCAACCCGACCAGCACACCAAGGTCCACTTCATCGATCCGTATTTTATTGCTGCTTAGATACACACGGTGTCACAAGCAAATGCAAAGTTTCGGAACCACATTTGCTTGTGTTTATCTAAATGTCAATAGTCGATCGATGAAGTGGACCTTGGTGTGCTGCTGACCTAATTATCTCCTACACGCACCTGCTGTCCCTCCCACTTGTTTGCCTGATGAAGGGGATGCTGTGAGACCCCGAAACTTTGTTTAGAGTGTTCTACTTGCAACTAGTACGTTAATAAACACGTACTGAACTTGCTTTGGAGTGCCGGTGTCTATCCTTTACTGATATTTTGTCAGAAGCCACCCGCTGACACCTGCTGCACATACCCTCCATTTTTGGAGCAGCGCCTCTGAGTGCGATGAGTACACAGACTGTACGCTGTCCCTCCTAGGCACAGGTCTCTGCATGGACCTTCACGCTCTATGGCTGTGCACGTCTGTGTAAATGAGGCATTAAATATCTACACAAAAAAATGTACTATTTAACTACCAGAAGTGTTAGGGTTCGTTCACCCCAGGTGTGTTGAGCTGCGTTAAACGGCATTAATGATGTGCAGGGGCTTGGCACAAACCCAGTTCGCCCAAGCCCACTGAAAATTGTCACTGACATAACCCCCTCCTGGCCTAATCAGTTGCGGGCAGGACTTTCCCGCTGCTACACAACACAAAGGAATGCCCCTGCCACAACTGATTGGGCCAGGAAGGGGGGGGTCAGTGACGGTTTTGCGCAGAATTGGGTGAACTCCATCGAAAAGGGTTTGCACCCCCCTCACATCCTTAATCTGCATGTGAAAAAAAGGAAACAGTGCAATGCATTGTAATGACATATTATATATACTATATACCACTTCTGCCAACATACACCAGTGGGCACGTTATACCACAACATGGAACAATTACCTGCAGTCTGGGACAGATGATTGTCCCGTGACAAAGACATATTGTGTTCAGGTACAATCATCTTTCCCGCACCGCAGGTAATCATTCCATGTATGATGCAGCTGCATCTGTACAGACCCACCTGAGATTCCTGCCGCAAGAATCTCTGGACCAATGTTCATATTTTAGGCCCATTACAGGCTGTTTGTGTTGCATCAAGTGTTCATTTTAGACATTCCTGATTTTTAATGGCAACCTACATCTAAAAGTTAACTGTCAGTTAGAGTGGACCAAACATTAGATATATTTCTCTCAGTACATATACGATCGGCTATATACAGTGTATAAGTGTAAATCCTACAGATATTTGTTACCTCTCACAGGGATCACTACCAGGGATTACTACCCTGGACAGTACCTTCCTTTGCTAATCTTTCCAGGATGGAGCCATCTTTGCCCAGGCATCATCCAGGCTCACCACCCACTTCCTGGACTGAGATCCTGTCTCAGAGATGACACAATCATGAAAATTCTGATGCTTGTACAGGTCTAGCTGTGTTGGCAAATGTCTGACACAGAACAGCCCTTGCTGCAGACTCCCACCTTGTGACTTGCTAAAAAGTGAAAAAGCTGCAGTCTGATCACTGGGGGAGAGGAGACTGAGGAAATGCTTCCTCCTGCCTGCAGGAGACTGGCATAAAAGTTACTTTATTACTTAAGCTGGGTATACACTACATCAGCCCTAGCCCTTACAAGCCTTAGGCCACTGTCGGAATACCCGAACGGAGCTTGTAGCTCACTGGCTATAAGCACCATTCTGCCCAAAATTTTCCAACCTGCTCCTTCGATCAGCTGATCAAGGGATGCCAGGCGGAAGGGTGCAAACAGCAGCACCCAAGCAGTGAATTTAAACCAGTTTATCAAGAACCTACCAAATTTGCATTGTGTATAGCCTACTTTAGGCAAAGTCACTTCACTGGAGCTAGAAGACTGTTTACTATAATAAAACGTAATTCTATTGATATATACTGAAACATGTCAGGAATATATTCATGCAGACTTGTAAAGTTATTAAAACAAGCACTTTAAAGGTACGTTAACAATCTAGCTGTTTTGAATTAAGAATAACAAACGAGCTGGAATATTTACTTATCCTGGAGAAAATGCTGCTCCTGGTTACCTCCAGTACTGATTATATAACTAAAATATTAAAGTGGTACTAAATCCAAAAACAAATATGTAATACTGCATGTTGCAGCTTACCAGACCTGGATGTTTTTAGGGGCAAATAAAGGGGAAAAGCCTAAAAAAATGAATCTTGTGAAGTCACTGCATCTAAAAACATGTAAGCTGCAATATAATTTTTCATTTTTTGGGTTTAGATACCCTTTAAAGTGTATGTAAAATCAAAGCTTATTTTGGATAGAGTAAGGAAGAGTTAAAACCCCTATAAAGTTTTTTTATTGCGCATTGTGTCCCCACTGGGGAGACTCTTCTCTCAGTGACCACTGTCACTAAGACAAAACGTCAGCACTCTCCCCTTCTGCTCCAGCTAGTGGAATGTCAATCCATGGCATCCAATGGCATCCTCACTTCTAATGCAGGCCTGTGGATCCTGCATTAGACATCATATCATCAATCCTGACCGGGAGAAGAGGTTATAGGGACCGGTCTAGCAGTATTGAGGAAGCAAGCGGAAGCGGCGGTCAGGTAAGTAAATCTCCTTTACTCCAGGCCCCTAGACAAAACAAGCTCTTAAAAAAAAGTGCCCTAGCAGTGGGGCCACCCCAGTACTACAAGGGGGCTTTTTTGTTTGCCCAGAGATGAGCTTTAACAAAGATCACATGATGAAATGTTGTGTAAGCATCACTGGAGGGAATATTGAGCTGCATTTTCTTTAGGAAAAGTACGTATTTTACATACCTAGACTACATTAGTGGGTCTGTACAACTCTCTGGAATTCTGCTACATGTATCCGAGCTGTAACAGAAGAGGAATAGCAGAACCTTTTCCAGTAAAGCAGCATTGAGTGCTGTCATATGTCAGAGAAGAGAACATTTCACATTCACAGTCTCTGGAGCCTTAGGTAAACATTGGACAGAATTTATGTATGTATGTGAATGTGAGCAGCACCGAGCAGAAATGTGCGGGCTGAAATATAATGTTTGTGTACTCTTATACCAGGAAACATTAAAGTGAGCAAATGCAGAATATATGAATACAATGGAAGTTGTGATATGACATATCCTGTTCCGTCTCTCTTTACAGTGCAGTTTGACATGATGAGGGCCTGCAATCTGATTGCCACAGTTGCCTTGACTGCCGGACAGCTCATCTTTCTCATGGGACTCGTAGAGCTGCCCATTATTACCCAGGATTCCCAGTGGTGGGAAGAAGCCATTGCTGCTGTATTTCAACTTGCAAGTAAGTACAACATCTTCTATTAATAACTAGTATGTGAACAAGAGAAATGCTTGCTGGTCTATTTTTTGGTGGAACTACTCAGTATGACTACTTTGAAACACAGAATTGTACAAAACAAAAGCACCTTAAAAAAGGCAAAATACCGGAAGATACCTTATAGAACTTCAAGTTCTAGATACAAAGGCATCTTTAGAGTTTAAGACTCGCAAGAATATATATATTCCCTATTCCTGCAATGCATCCAATATTTTATCACAAGTAAGTGAATAATATAAATTTAAGTAATGTATAAGTGTGTGGTGAGGAGCCCCTGGGACAGACAGACAGACATACAAGTCCTTATTTTGTTTAATGACTTTATTGGTTATAATTTGGGTGTAAGAGGTCCAGGTACAGCTGTACCCCATTTAGACACATCTCAGGATCTCATTATACTCGGAGGTCAGACTTCAATAGGCACACCTCACAGTGAAGCAACAAGATGCAGCGGTAAAAGCCTTAAGGAGAGGAGGAGCCCAAACATCCCCAAAACATGTTGGCTGTACCCTACTATTATAAACAATAAAGGCGTTAAACAATTTGCTTGTTGGCCTTCCTTTACCAGGTGCTCCTGATACATAGATTCAAAAGAGGGGAACAATACATGTTTACCAAGGAAGGCCCCTTTGCATATAT